GATTGTATTTTTCTTTCTCTTTCTGACTCATTTCACTTAGTATGATGATCTTCAGGTCCATTCATGTTGCTGCAAATGACATTTTTAAGGCTGAGTAGTATTCTATTGTATATGTTTGTATACATATGTATATGTACAATTAGATTGGTCCCATATATATATATACACACACACATACACATACACACCACAACTTATTTATCCAGTCATCTGTTTTATCCAGACATTTCAGCTGCTTTCAATATCTTGGCTATTGTAAATTGTGCTGTTAGCTCATGAGTTCTTGATATCTCCTTACTTCATTTAAGTAGAGAAAAAAAATCCTTTAATTAAACTGTTCCAGAATATTAAAAGTAAGTTTTTATCATATTGAAAGCTTGGAAGAATTGCTATTAGGTTCCTCAGATAATATTTTCATATTCATTGTATATCACTTTACATGGTCAATGATGTCATTAAAAAGATCTGATCATCAGTGCCTAGCTGAATGAAACATTTAAATTTTAAAGCAGTTAAGATTTATTTTGTATTATAATCAAAACATTTACTTTTCAAGACCTTTGTTGCCATTTTACCTGAAATTGAAATCATGGTAGCCTTGTGGCCAAATTGAACTTATCCTGCTTATTAAAAATATAAGCAAGCTTATGCAACTTAATGTATCATTTTTATTTATGACGGACATTTAGCTAATAGAGTTTAATTTTAGCTGTTTGGGTATTCACAACTGAGGTCCAAAGATCATGGAGTCAGAAGAGATAGCCATTTCTGCTATTCACTGTCCAAAGTCCTGAACTACAGAACCCACGAGCAAAATAAAAGGGTTGTTACTTTTTTCTGCTAATAAGTTTGGTTGTTATACAGCAATAGATAGTCAGAACAGAATTTTATAGCTGGAAGTAGGGTGCTGCTGTAACAAAAGCTCAAAGTACATGGGACCAGCTGGTGGGCAGAGAAGACTTCATGAAACCTGGAAGGGGTTCTTGGTGATGGTTGGTAAGGGCTTGAAAGTACAGTAAGTGAAAGACAATATTATTTGAAGCTGGAAATAAGACCTTTATTATCTAGTGGTAGCAAAACTGTTACCCAGGGTAGCATGGAAAATAGTGAATGAACTGACAGATCTGGCAAAGGAGATTTCCAGGCATAATGGCTAAAGTACTGTCAACTGTTTCTTTTAACTATGTCTCATAAAATACGAATGAATGGAGATGAGCTAAAGAAGGAATTCTTGTTTTCGACCAGAGTTTGGAGGAAATATAAAGGGAAAAGTTCAGTTTTTCCAGCCTGCAAAGGGTTCTCAAAGTAAGGAAGGACCTCAGAAAAAAAATCAAATCCAGAGTGAAGTTAGGAAAATGTGATCTTCAGGCAAAAATGAGACTAAGATGTAACTATAAAACTTTTAAGATTCAGAAACACTTGAGGTGGTCTTTATGGACACTAAGACACATAAGAAGCCTTCAAGTATCTTAAGGGCATGCCTCCTAGTTCTGTTCTGTTAAACAAAAGGGCTCCTAAGAACTGAAGGGCTTTGTCCCACAGCAGCCTCACAGAGAGATTTCACAGAGATCTGTGATTGATACATAAGAAACCTCTAAAGTTTTAAAAAGAATTAAATCATCCTGGACTTGTACTGAAACAACACAAAATGAAGAGACTTCTGGATCCATGAACTTCTGTAGGCAGGAAAAAAGCTAAGAAAAGTTTTCAGTTACAAACATGGGCTTCTTGTTTATGGAAAAGGAAATATAACTCAGATGGTGGAACCAAGAGGCTAGAGGGCAGAACCCAGAACACAGAGAAATACGCCCACTGAGTGGGGCTGGAGCCTGATCAGGGTACTGGTTCCATGTGCCCTGCTGGATGCTAGAATTATTGTAGACCAGTGTCATTTACACGCTTCCTAGCTTTTACCCACACCTTTCTGAACAGAAATATCTATTGTGATTATCGTGTCCTGGAAAACTAGGTATTTTGGATGTGTGGGAGCTGGGTAACTTGTTCTTTAGTTCACGGATCTTCATATTGAGAGGAGTTGTACTCACATCGATTGCATCTTGACCTGATATAGATGATTAGATACTGGACTTTGAACTAATGGTGTAATTATGAGGAGATTTGGGATTGTGGGAAAGGGAATGAGTATATCTTGGGTTGGGATGTGAACTGCTGTGAAAATAGGGCGGATTGCACCAGACTGAGTTTTTTAAATTAAACTTTCTGTTTTGAGATAACTATAGATTCACACACAGTTGTAAGAAATAATACAGAGTTGTAAGAAATAATAATAATAATAATAATGCATGTACTCTTTACTTAGTTTCCTCTGATGGTAACATCTTGGAAAACCCTAGTACAATAACTCGGCTTGACATCCAGAACACATGTAACCAGTACCTTGATCAGGGGCCAGTACTACTTACTGGGAGACTTCTCTGTGTTTTGGGTGCTGTCCTCTAGCTTCTTGGTTCCAGCATCTTGATAGAATCCACCAATCTAATTCAGATTTACCCAGTTTTACTTGTGCTCTCATGTGTGTGTGTGTGTGTGTGTGTGTATGTGTATGCAGTTTTGTGTGATTTTTATCATGTGTGGATTCATGTATCCACCACCACAGTCAAGGTACACAACCAGGATTCCTCCTGTTGCTCTTTTTTTAACCACACCTGCCTCCCTACTCTGTTTCTACCTGCCAAATTGATTTCTATTACAGCATTAGCTTACATTATAAATGTGAATACCCTTTGAAAACATGAATATATATTATACATAAGATCATTTTATTAAATTGCTTCTATAGAAATTACCAACAAAAACCTCAATTTAGAAATATATAATGGTTGATTTTTTTCAAATTCAGAATTTATCTGTTAATGAAATCAACTACTATTAATCAATAAAATTTACTTTAATTCAACTTACTATTTTTCGCTGCTGTCCAGAGATGGTTTAAAACACTGATATAAATGCTACATTTGTGTGTGGTCTGTTGTATAGATAGATTGGGCAATAGTGTAATGATTTTGCTTTTATATTTCAAAAATGTATACCCCAAAGAGTGATATTTTTATTCTCTGTTGTTCAACATATTCAGTCAAAGGTAACCAAATATGAAGAGCTATAAAGAAAGCATTCCTAAAGGAAAGAATTGCCTTTCTGTGCTACTTCCATATCTATTACACTGTACTATTTTGTTGCTATGGTAAGAAAAATAGGCCAAATAATTTGTAAGGAATTTAGTGTTTTTCCTTTTTAAATTTTTGATTACCAAATTATTTCTGGTTTCTTCTTCCCTTTTTCCTTTTTCTCTCATATGCTCAGCTCCTCCTTACAGTCTTTTCCTGTGATTCTGAATTATTTATAACAGTGCCAGAAGTATTATGAACATCAGTGTGAGCTGTATTTTCTAATTCAGATATATGCAGGCTCTTTAACTTTGTAGAACTTTAGTGTATGATAAGCATTATTTGTGATCCACAGATAGAAATATCTAAAATTGTTATGTGTGATTTATCTTATTTCTAACATCTAATCTACATCTTCTTTTATTTTTAAAAAGACAGATCATCTCAACCCATTCTTTTTTATTTTACTCCTTTAATTAAAACTGTATTTACTGACCTTGCCTTAAAAAGGGTCTCTTTACTATCTGGCACTCCCCTAGAAGTTGACTGCTTTGCTTGTTAATTGATGCTTTCCAGCCTGGTGGTACAGGACACTGGATGGCATTCTCTGATGTTCTGATTCAGCCTCAGTGTTAGGCAGGGGTTGTTTCCCTGGGTCTCAAGGCTGTCCCATTCTGAGTAATCCTGTCCTATCCCAGTGATAAGGGGTCCCAGGTAGTCTTGGTTTAAGATGTTTTTCCACCCCTCCCCCTCCAGGGATGGAGAGTTTTTTCCTGTTCTTTTCCTCAGCTAAATTGGGTCTTGGCCTGTGCCCTGAGGACTATAGGTTTTTTTGTTGTTTCTTAGGAGAGAGAGGATTAGGTGGAGCTTTGTTCTTTTTTCACAGTAGCTGCTTTTCCTCTCCTGCAGGCCTGCTACATGAGGGAGTGTCTCTCCAGTTTCTTGGTTTCCCCCTATTTTCTTGTGAGCACCTTGTGAGGTATGTGTGGAGAAGAGTCTGTAACTAGATGAGCATTCCCTGATGTTTCTGGCTCCCAAGGATTCTGCATTCTCATGCTGACTCACACTCAGCCTTTAGCAATTTGTTGGAAATTTCAGCTGAATTCTTACCAGCTTGTATTCCATCTGGCATCTGCTTCAGGTTATCAGGTGTCCACATCCTGTTTCTCCTTGGAGGTGTCTGTATGGAGATGAGTTCTCTGATGGGTTCAAGAAAATTGGCAATTTTGTAGATTAATGGCCTTTTTTTTGTTATAAGGCTGGAAATTATGCTGTTTCCAGGTTTTTACATCCTATGTAGAAAACATATGAGTGTGTCCCTCAGTATATAATCGCTGTTCAGCTCCGTTGTTCATGATACATACTGGGTTACACATTTGATCTGAAAGGTCCACAATTCCTGCTTTGATTTTCTTTCTGGTAAACTCTTTTTAAATTTCTGTCTAGAGCCTGGTAATTCTTTTCAGCACTTTCCTCCCCACCCCAGACACATCTCTAAGGCAAATTATGAGAGAGACGATTTGAAATTGGTGGGGAAAGGAAATCCCACTTTTAAGGAGTAGAAAAATATGGGTTTTGGTGTAAGCTCTTCTTTTATTAGTTAATTCGTCTAGAATTAATCACTCATCTAGCTGAACATCTTTTTTCACCTTTAAAAGAGGATTTTAAGACCATTGTTCCTCTTATAGAGTTGCTGCAAGAGTCAAATTGTGTATAAATGATCCCTGAAAAATGTAAAACTCTGTAAAAATTGTGATTTTATTATTACCTTTCTCAGTATACTTTCACCCATGAGTGCATTTATTTTTACCAAGATAAAGTGGACCAGCTATAATCTATCTGACTTCCTGTTTTTGATTTATTTAAAGAACTTTTTATTATTGGTTTAAAGACTCTTGCAAGAGCGTGAATTTTTTTTTTTTTTTGATTTATCTAACTTCTGATTTGAACCTCTCATGCTCTGCTTCATAGACTTCCGTGTTTTTCTTTTGTGGTCACAATTTTCTTATCTCAAAATATGTCTTTCTACCTTTTAAAGATCTTTTTTTTTTTACTTTATTAGTTGCCCATGTAAAAGTTTATTAGCTACTATTTGTATTTTTGAAGTTCTGATTTTTTTGATATGCCTTCATTTATTTTTTGTTTCTAGTAAGTTGTTGTAAAGTTCCCAGGCATCTTGTCAGTGTTTTTTTCAAAAAAAAAAAAAAAAACTTTTCTTTGAAAAGAATATCTCATTTATTAACAATTTTTTGAAAATGTGGAGACTCCATAAGTATTTTCTGAGAAAGCTGAGCATGATGAACAAATATTTACTAAGTACTTATCCACCTGTACTTTAGATATCAATTGTGGTTCCTCCTTGGGTCTTAGCCATCAAGGTGTTTGCACCAACATGGTGGCAAGGACAGAGGATGACTAGACTTGATGTCTCCATCTACCACTTTCTTCCTTCTTCATAGGAATGTTATGTTCCAGCCTTCCTTCCTTTCCTCTCTTTACTCTGGACCCCTTTCCCATCTTAGTTTATTCTATTTCAGGCAGGAGGTTTTTTCCTTACATGTACACATTGACATCCTATTTAACTTTTCTGCTTTTCTAAATATGGTCTAGTTATTATGGTAAAATCTGTTTATATGCAAAGAACCTCAAACAACCCTAATCAGAAATGAGAAGAATCAGAATACAGTTACTAGTTTATTTGTTTTAAGGATGAAATATTCATATGTTTAATGGAAATGAGACAAAACATAGTAACAGCCTGTGTCCAGTTACCATACTAAGACCACCTTAAAATTCTGTGTTTTGCTAGAAAGATTCATAGAGCTCAGCATATAGTCATACTCACTGCTATGATTTATTACAGCAAAAGTTTATGAAGCAAAAAAAGGGGAGCTGGAGAAGGCTGGAAGAAAAGGGAGAAGGTTCAGTGGGGAGCAGGGTGGGTTGGAGGAAACCAGATGCAAGCTTCTGAGAGTCCCCTCTCAGTAGAGTTATACAAGATGCACTAAATTCCTCCAGCAACTATTTGTGATAACAAATGTTAAAAATAGAACTTCCATTAACCATATAATCCAGCAATTCCACTCCTAGGTATTTATCTGAAGAAAACAAAAATACTAATTCCAAAAGATGTATGTACCCCTGTGTTCATTGCAGCATTATTTACAATAGCTAAGATATGAAATAACCTAAGTGTCCATCAACAGATGAATGGATAAAGATGTGTATATGTACAATGGACTATTACTAATCCATAAAAAAGAATTAAATCTTACCATTTGTAACATGATTGGTCCTGGAAGGTATCATGCTAAGTGAAATTAGTCAGAGAAGGACAAATACTGTATGATTTTACTTACATGTGGAATCTAAAAACCAAAACAAATGATCAAATGTAACAAAACAGAAACAGTTATAGATAAAGAGGACAGACAGGTAGTTGCCAGAAAGCAGTGGGGTGGGGGTGGGGGAAAGACAGGTGAGGGAGATGAAGAGATACAAACTTCTAGTTACAAAATAAATCAATTACAGGTATGAAATGTGCAGTGTGGAGAATACAGTCAATAAGTATGTAATATTTTTGTATGGTGACTATTGTAACTAGACTTATTGTGGTGATCATTTTGAAATGTATAGAAATATCAAATCACTATGTTATGTAACAGGAACTTACATGGTGTTGTCGATCAATTATACCTCAAAAACAAACTCATAGAAAAAAAGATCAGATTTGGTGGGTAGGGGGGAGAGGAATTAGATGCAGGTAGTCAAAAGGCACAAAATTCCAGTTATAAGATAAATAAGTACTAGGGAAGTAATGTACAACAGGATAAATATAATTACCACTGCTATATGGTATCTATGAACATTGTTAAGAGAGTAAATACTAAGAGTACTCATTACAAAAAAAGGTTTTTTTCTATTTCTTTAATTATGTTTCCATATGAGATGATGATATTCACTAAACTTACTGTGGTAATCATTTCATGATGTCATATCATTTTACTGTACACCTTAAGTTTATAAAGTGCTATATGTCAGTCATGTTTCAATAAAACTGGAAGAAAAAGTGTGAAACCTCCACCAGGGAAGCTTATGTGAGACCCAGTGCCTACTTTTACTGGGGGCTGGTCAAGTAGACTCACTCTCCTAGAATGAAAACTGGTGTTCAGTATAGACCGTATTGTTTGTGCAAACAGTTTAGGCCTAGTGAACTATCATTTTGTGAATGGTGAGAACCCTCCGAAAATCAAAGTTCCTGTAGGTCAGCCAAAGACCAGTCTTGCAGCTTAGCAGGCCTTTCTAAGGATTGCAACCTCAAGTCTGTGACGTTAACTCTTTTTTGCACACTGCTATTCGACTTTGAAGGTCCTCCCCGAAAGCATCCAAAAACTCTGTTCAGATCAATACAGAACTCTGGTTATGTTTCCTCATGGTCTGCTAATTAAACAAACACTACCACTTGTTAAAGCTATTATAACATTATAAAACAATTTTCTATTACTTTTCACCTCAAATAGTATTTCTACTATGAATTTAAAAGGCTTTTTGGATACACTCAGGAATTTTATAACAAGTTTTCTTACATAAAACTTCATTCCCAGTTTCAAACAACTGATTTGAAAATGAAATTTTAGAATAAGATCTAGATTGAGGATTTTTTTAATATGCAGTATGCAGAGAAGAAAGAAATTAGAGTAGATTGAATTCACTGGAGATGCCTTTAAGGAAGAAACTGGAATTGAACTGAAGATGGGGTGTGTAAGAAAATGAAAAAAAGGACAAAGGATATGCTAGGGAAACAGGTTAGCATGGCTAAGGGAAGACTGAAGATGGGGTGGGTTTGAGGGGAGAGATAATTGTATGTTATTACTCTGAAGCAAATGTAAACTCAGTCACTTTTTGCATCAGTCCTGTTGAGACACAGATGCCTGATTCATATATTTTCTGCCTTTGTAGATTCTAAAACTTTCTAGGAAGACCTACTTTTCTTATTTAAAAGTTTATATGAGGTATAAATATTATATGCATTTCTCTTTGTTGTTTCCCAGTTGTAAACTATTTAACCCATAGGGTTGTTTTGAAGATTAAGTAAGATGATACGTGAAAAAGCTTTGTGAAAGTATTTATGGCCACCGTTTAACAAAATTATAACTGTCTCATCCTAAGTGTTTATTATGTATGGAATATCTGCACAATATTATGTATCTTCCTCAGTTTGCTCTCATCTACTCTTCTGCCACCTCCCTGAATATTTATACCAGCAGGTCCTCTTGCAGCTAAATATTATAGTTCCTCTATTTTATGGTGTAGGACCCTAGCATTTACATATGTGCTGGTTTGGATTTTCCTTCTTCCTCGTACCATATAGTTTCCTTATTTGGCCTTTGTTTCCTGTTTTCCTTTGGCATACGATTCAATTATTTGGAAAGCAACATTTATAAGACTGAATCCTTTGTACTTTGTTTCTTTGCAGTATTTTTAAAGGTTAAGGTAGAATTTAAAAGGGTTGTCAAGTCCAGGATAGCAAAACTATATAATAAAAATTCTTTCTTTGTTCTAATAAGAGGTGGAAAATAATTCATGAGTGCCGAGTGCCTAGCCTAAAGCTGCCTTGCATGTTATAATTATGTATAAACACTTGTCTTAATGTGAAAAATTAACTCTTTCAAATATAAGATGTATTAGAAGAACTATTAGAAATTCAACTAACTAATCATTGCCTCTAAAACAACAAAACTCTTGGTAAACAGCTAGATGAAACATTAAAAATTTTAGACCAACTATTTGAGTATATACCAATCACTAAAAGAACTAAAAGAACCACCTAGCTATTAATGAATAGGGCAGTAATTGACTGATTTATTCTCTCTCTCCAGATTTATGAAGTGTGTAGAAACACTGTTCAAGTTTATTAAATAACATATCAGTGTTACATTGGGTAACCATAATTCACCTGTTTGAAGCTAGTTTTTGATCATAGAGGCTGGTGTGATATAGTTATGTTAAAAATTCAAGAATAGCAAATACTAGGTTTAGCATCTGGTTTATTAACATTAGATGGAAAACTGCATTTGGACAAGATGGGTTTGAAATAAGAAGAGCTAGAAAAAAACTATGGATGGAAATTTCTAGAATGGCATGGGTATTTGATGGGTAAATATGAATAAAAATGCCATGTTCTGTTTAAAGGCCAAGAAGCTGTTCCTTAGTAAGAGTTTTTATTTCGATCGCCAGTAAGCTAGTACATTCTAAAACTAGTTGGACAGCTATGGGAAGCCACATTTCAGATGGGAAATGTGTCAAAATGTCTACTTTTTAAAATGAAGGAGAAACATACATGTGGTAGCACCATTTATGGGTTTGATGTAGTTTTCAGAATAGTTCCTTTGTTGTTTCTATTTTAAAATATCTATATGTTAAAAGAGGATAGTAATCTATTTGATCATATGTATTTACCATCAAGTTTCAATAATAATTACAAAATTTTTCTTTTCATTTGTGTCATTTATATATCTTCTGTAAATGAGAAATTCATGTTACAAAGAAAATCATACTGTAACAAGTCTAGTACAAAAATTGAGTACATTATACGGTAGGTTCAATATAAACTGTTTTCAAAAGAATGTTTTCTTTTTGTGAATTCGTGAAATGCATATTGAACTAGTTAGATTTTTTTTAATGAGTAGAATGGAAAAAAATCTCACCTTTTGCACCATAAATTTTTTTAAAGTATAAATTCCTCAAAATAAAACAATTTTGTTAACTATTCTATTTTCTGTATTTTTTTAAGTTTATGAAAGAAAAAATAATAACAGCTCATAAATCCTCAACCCCCAACAGAGAGGGATACCTTTGTCTTGTGAACATGGATTTTCTTAGACAAAACAACCAGAGCTTTAACCTGATGCTTAAGCAAACTGAGCTTATACTCCAAGGGAAAAGCTATTTACTTTGAGGCTCAGTTTAAGAAGCCCTTTGAAGAACTGGGGAAAATCAGATGGCTTTAGCTGAGATAGAACTTGATTACTGCTGATAAAAACATTTGTATATTTTTAATTTAGTAAGCTTTAACTCTAAATTTCTGAGTTAAAACTTACTTAGAATTTAAAGCTAGTATAAAATTTAATCAGGGTATTTATTTTTGAAGCAGTTATTTGACCTTCTGTTTTAGATTGCATTTTTCCTTATGTATCTTTGCTTAAAAGGAGCCAACCAAATGGAAAATATTGAGGAGACAGGCACAGAGACTCCACATGAGAACAAGACTGTCCTTAGCTTTGTGTACAAAATATATCTCCTGTACTTACATGCTTTTAAAATAACATCATACTGTGCTCAATTTTAGGCAACAAGTAGCTGTAAGTGATAGATTCTCTCAGCAGAAACATTTTCCTCTGTCTTCTATGGGGAAAAGTCATCATTTTTCTCTACTATTTTTAAAAGGCTGAAATTGAATTTTTCAACTTAGTAGAGTCACTCTTATTCTTACTAGATTTTTCTTCTTGGCTCTGAAGGTTCCTGTTAACATGGTACTGCTTCCACAAAGATTCTAAGGTATGAAGTAACAGACTTTTAGAGCTAAAAGTGACTTTTCAGATTATATAGTCATACACTTTCATTTTACATTTAACCCCAGTGTCAGCTCAAGCCTCCTATCCATCCTGTGGCCTTTTTAGTATTGCTACGTGTCCTCAGGGATTGTATGTTCATGGTTACCTCCAGCTTCAAGTTTCTGACCCGTGGGTACTCTTGATCTCATTTGCAGCACACCTCA